CCGAATATCTCAGAATGGTAGTTTGAATCGTTTATTTACTTGTATAGTTTTTCACAGCCGCTTTGTAACGATGGACGCGACACAGCCGATTGCACGCAGACAAAATGGCGAAATTTACAGTCAAAAAAATATTTTGGTTCACTATATTTAGATTTTATAGGCACAGTACATTTTTACAGCAAATTTCATCATAAAAAATACTGTGACAATGTTTCCAGTCTTACTATATTTCTGAATATTTTACAACTTCTGTGGTTCAAGTAGATAGGTACACTATATTAACATTATGGTTCTCATAATGTTAATATAGTGTACCCATCTACTTAAACCACAGCTTCACTAAATACTGTAATGTTGACAAAAGTCAGAAGAAAATATATTTGTATAAAATATGTGCATATTACATGTCACACGGAACTTCTGGGAATGTCTTTTTACTTCACTGTAAATTATATGGCAAATTATAGTATTTACTTCCAAAAACCTTAAATTTGACAGTATCTTATAGTAAAATTACATATAATGTGACCACTTAAAGTAATTGTATATGGTAAGATAATTTAGTTAACTAATTAACAGGTTTCTACTGTAGCATTTTTACAGTCTTTCTTTTTTTTCTGTAAAGATTCCAAACATTTTTTACAATGTACAAATCCCGTTAACTGAGCTTACCCTTATTGAATTCACAATATTCCTTTAGAGAGTCACAAAGGAAACAGGGGCTACCCATAAATCCCAGCGCCCAACCTACTTGGAGTATTATGTAAAATCTGTGAGACAGCCTGCCCTTCAAACTCTTGAGCATTAAAGGCAGATTGGAAAGACTCTTATCCTCAAAAAGGGGCTAACTGCACACAGGGGTCCATATGCTGCCAGACTGCTGTCCATGGGTAGCAAGATAGAGTAGTAGCGCAAATTATACAGCAGTGGGGTAGAGAAGAGCATGGGTTTTTACCCAGACATGGCTGAAAGGACATAAAGGGAAGACACAGAGTTGAAAAAGAGATTTATTCCATAATTGACTACCCTGTACTGAGGAAAACTGATGTCTGGTGGGAGGTCTTAGGCCACTAAGCCCACCAGAATAAATCGTAATCCTCTTTTGCTCTCAGGCCATGTCTTTACCACCCTACCCTGTGTTTTAGGAAATTAAATCACTCAGACACAAAGTCAGCAAAGCTTTCTACCCCCATTTATTATTTCTGACTGGTATTGTTCTTGCTGATTTGTTTTAGAGCCTCAGGCACAGAAAGATGAATGAGTGCAGTAGGAGGAGTGTGTTGTGACATGGTTCTTTCTCAGTAAATTAGAGAATTTCAAAGCAGGAGACTTACATATATGGATGAGAATTGTAAGGATTCCCGTTCCACTTAACAATCCATAAACAAGTTTTGAGGAAACGTATTCAAACTATGGAATACATCCATTCTGCTCCAAATACTGGAGCCTAGCTCAGCGTCTCTGGTCTTGGGAAACACAGTGCTGCCCACTGGGTCACCAACAAGTGCACACAAAAAAAAGGTGCCATTTTTAAGAACTACATGTGAGAGAGAGTATTGAGTGTAGACATGGAGAAATTGCATAACCTTAAGCTTTTTTTTCTGGCAGTTTAATGGAATTCATTCAGAAGTTATTCATTTGAGAATTAGACTGCATTGGTCATGCTATATGAATGTTGTACTAAGTACTGAGGACAGTGAAATAATTGGATTGTGCAAGTTGTCTATTCATTGTGTTTGTATTATTTTGTGACAGTATTTCTCTCTCACATTCAGTTTGGTCTGCAAACAACCTAAAAAATAATTTGCTGTGGCTCTGTTGATTCAATATCTTGTTTAATACCGTTCCACACTGACAGATGAATGTAGGCGTTCAAGAACCGTTAATGGAACTAAACTTCATAAGTCATACAGTCATGTTTTTGTTTTTTAATAATGCACCAGATTTTGAATAAGAACCAGTTTTCAATCACCAAATCCTACTTACAAAAGTAATTCCACTGTAAAAAAAAAAAAAACTGAACGTTGCAAATTCAAAAGCTTGATGCAACCATCTTCAGGACTTTTTACAGTTATTGAGCTTATGGAAAAAAATTTTTTTAATCAAATTCACAATTAATGTTGGTCTTTAATTTTACTAAACACAAGTTCTACAAACTCAAAAATTATGTTTTTATTTGTGTATTCAAGTTCATTAAGCCTGCATTTTAGGTGAAGCTGAGGATTGAAATAGTGATTAGTCTAACTTAGTTTAACTTGTGTATCAGTTTGTTGAGCAAACTGAAAAAAGTTTTATAAACTCAAAGAAGCTTTATAACCCTACAAACGTAAAAATTTTGAACACTAATCCCTCTAATGATGACTTGAAACATAACACAACTTTTACAACAAAATATAATCAAAAACACTACATATCGCTGAAACATCTATTTCTTCTCAATAAAAATTAATGTGTACGTTTTAAGTTCTTGCTGTAATATTTCATTTTATTTTTATTTCAGTTTTAATATTTTAATTTAAATACTAAATTGCATAAATTAATGTTGACTTTTATGTCATGTAAACCTTTTCTACATTTTATAGTTCAATCAACTTTTAAAATAAAGTTGACCAAAGAAAAATTATTTTACAGTGTTAGCCTCTTCTTGATTCCTGTCAAATCAGTATATCAGCAAAAATATGAGTTCCTCTACTGGCCTATCCAACCTAGAAACATATAGGAAGAAAGAAGCAAAGAAACAAACAATGAAAAAAAAATAAATACAGTGGGCCTTCTGTCTCTCTCTCTATATGAGTTCCCAGAGTTGATGGTACCATCTGTCAGGCACATTTTTGAATAATTTTCTTGTAAATAAGCCCTGAACACTATCCACATAGTGGCTCACCTAGTGCAACAGTCTGCTTTGCCTTACTTAATCAGAGCCACAGCTGGTCTGCTTGATGAATTGTTTGCTCAACCGATTTTTTTGTGGCCTTTCTGCCCATGCCAGAAGCACAGGGTGGTTTTCCACAGGCTCTCAGTAGATTCAGATGAAGGTCCCAATTGATTTCTGAATGAGTTCCTTAAAGACTAGCTGACTGGTATCCATTTTCTCCGCTCTGAAGGAGGTGAAAAGGCATTATTTCAGCCATGGTGCAGTGTGGGGCACGCTTTCTGTACATTGCATAACAGTACCTGAGCTGCTCTTGTTGGAAGTTTTGGGGGAAGACCAGTGTCTTGGCTTGCAGTTATAGTTTGTGGCAGTGGCTGTGTAATTCCTCAGTATTGTGTTCATAGGCCAAGAGTGACAGTCATGAAGCGAGTCCGAGCAGCTGATTTCAGTAAACATCTGTGAGGCAAGAGATACGGGTGATCCCTGTATGAGTGGGCCACCTTTGCCTCTTTACTGCTCTACTTATTAATGAGTGCCACCAGTCCTACGGAAATCACCAGCATATGTTGTTTGGCTGTTCCAAATCTCACACGTTCACTCAGTTGCTTATCTGATTCCCTTGGATGCACTATAAATGGAATAGGGAGCAATTTTGACACACTTTGTACACTGGACACACGGCTACAACTGAATTGCTTCATTATGATTAATGTAGCTGTCTGCATTGCAAGCACCTGTTTCATTTAATAACTTCAGAAAGCAGATGCCCTATTTCTTTTTTTATTTCATTTTATTCCATTTTATTTTGATGTCCAACATGTATACATAGAATACAGAGATTTTTTTCTTTTCTTTTTAAAGGGCACCTATTATGTCCCTTTTTACAAGATGTAATATTATTCTTATGGCTTTCCTGGATGTGCCTGTGAAGTTTCAGCTCAAAATACCATACAGATCGTTTATTATAACGTGTTGAAAAGTGTCCTTTTTGGGGTGGGTCTAAAAAGTGCTGTTTCAGGGGTGTGTTCCCTTACATTAAAATGAGCTGCAACTTCCCGCCCGACTCCAGAAGGGAGATAACCGAATATCTCAGAATGGTAGTTTGAATCGTTTATTTACTTGTATAGTTTTTCACAGCCGCTTTGTAACGATGGGTGCGACACAGCCGATTGCACGCAGACAAAATGGCGGACATGGCACAACACACTGAGAGCTGAGGATACGGTAATACGCGCCTGTCAGTCTTTAGCGGTGGGTGGGGCTACAGGATCCAAACCCCTAGTTTTTTTAGTCTGGTTTGCTTTTATGAAGATTTAAAAAAAAAAAAAGACACAATTCCAACACACATTTCTGTCCAAACACCTTGTAAAAGTGGATTTTGCATAATAGGTGCCCTTTAAAAGAAATTAATACCTTTATTCAGCAAAGACACATTAAAATTATTAAATTACATTTATAGTGTTTGAAAAATATTTTCAACAGCAAATCAGCATATTACAATGATTTCTGAAAGATCATGTGACACTGAAGTCTGGGGTAATGATGCTGAAAATTCAACTTTAGCATTTCAGGGATAAATTATATTTTGAAATATATTAAAACAGAAAACCGTTATTTTAAATTGTAGTAATATTCCACAATATTGCTGTTTTTGCTGTATTTTTATATTTTGTAAATCTTGCTGACCCCAAGCAATAGTAAGATAGATAGATAGATAGATAGATAGAGTTTTGGAGATAATGATATTCTGTTTATTCTTTTTCGCTGAAGTTGACATTTTAAAACCGTAATGAGGCATGGGATTGGAAAGCAGTGTGTTTGTGTGAGGGAGACAGATGGGCTGGTCTGGTAAAGAAAAAAGGGCCAAATTTCCATAGTCACAGGAGGGCTATCTTTACTCGTTCTAAATGTGTTTCCTCTAAAACTGATTGTGTTTCCTGTTGTGCGACAGACTCATCCACTCTTATAGCTTTTTTTGCTGCTCATTACTCAGCTGGACTGACACCGACTTGCGCAGCTGAGAGCCGTCCCATCCTCGTGATGGGCCCTTTGATCATGGAATATACTGCTGTAATGAGAGATGAGAATGTTTGTGACATATTTTTCCACTTGCCTCCATCTTTTGCAGGTGTGACGTTTGCAGCAAAGGGCTATTTTGATGCTCTGGTGAGAATGGGAGAGCTGGCCAGTGAAAGCCAAGGATCTAAAGACTTGGGTGAGTCTCGCACTCCTGTTTTAGCTTCAAGGGAACAGGCAAACTGTGTGGCTTGATCCGACATGACACCACAAAACACGCACTAATGGAACCACATGCTCAGCAAAGTGCTGATGTTGCTTTCATTAGGCCCGACTGTCAGAATCTGTTGCTGAAAAGCTTTTTATATTTAACCTTTTTAAGTCGGAAGCATTTCAGACGTAGTTTATGTACTGGTGTAAATTATTCCTTGTTTCACTTGCTCAGTTTCTCCAGTTTGCGTGGAAAATGAAGTCAAAGGGCTGATGGCAGTGGATGGGAATTCATCTGCCGTGCTGCAGGGAAACTCACCGATGCATCATTTATGATCAGTTTAAAAAGCAGATCTAGTTCGAGGGCTATAACGTCTTGAAGTAGCATTTCACTTTCTGCTACAGGGCGGCTGTCAGAATTGTTGGTCGGTTCTTTGTTCTGTCAAGGATGTGAGAGTGGGTGTATGCTTGACCCTCAAGATGCTTGTTGCTTATGGAGATTGCTAGTGGTACGGCAGAGAAATCTACTTTGTATTCGTGATACGATCTCCATCGTCTATTGAACTTTCAAGCCCTTTTGGGCATGTACTGAATCTTCTTCTTACCTCACTATCAGGAGCCCTGAGTAAATTTAGACCCTAGTTGACTTTTGTTTGAGATATTTGTTGATTTTCAGACAGACTGTCAGTCTACTAATACAGACGGTATATTAGTAGTGGGTATTTTTCAGTGACTCTTTCTGAAGGTTACATTGTTACTCCAGTATATGGTGACAAGTGGCTAATATTATGAATGAGTCATTGAATTATTCACTCAACCAATTGGGATAGTAAAGTGTTCATCGGAAGTGCACATCAGAATATTGCCAAATCTAGTATGGTACTTTTTGCCTACTATGTTCTAAATACTATGAATTCGGACATAATACTCTTTTCACACTGCTTTACGTCACTATATAGTAGAGAAGTATGCAGCCACAGTCTTTATGAATGAGACATTAAATCATTCGCTCAACTGATTAATTCAAACATACTGATTCATTCAGTATGAATAATAACTTAACAGGTGACTGTCTTTATGAGAGATAAACTCCCCCCTCATGTATAACGCAATCGACAGTGTACTTCACCTCTCATTTGAACTCGCAAAAGGTATTAGCACTTGAATCCCACTATAACTTAACAGGTGACTGTCTTTATGAGAGATAAACTCCCCCCTTATGTATAACGCAATCGACAGTGTACTTCACCTCTCATTTGAACTCGCAAAAGGTATTAGCACTTGAATCCCACTCTCTCTCTCTCTGACTGAGAATGAATCACAGAGTGAGTCTCAGCCTCAGTCACAGACCCCCTGGACATACAACACAATGTGGCCCTCTCGAGTTACACTTCATATACACACAACAAATCATCTGTGATGTGTGAAAGACACTCCTATACAAAAATTCACTATGGTAACCATTCATTTTCAGCAAATTACCATGACAAATTTTCATTTTTGGGTGACTTGACTTGACTTGACTTGAACTATGCTTTTAACTGAAATTCAAACATTCATTGTTTAAATGAAAGATAAGTTAAGATGGTGTGTGTGTTACAAAACTAAAAACGTATTTGACTGATGGCTGTTTTGCACTGTCATTTTCAAATGCAGTTACATGTAGATAATGGACAGGTGTGGTTTATGAGAACCTGTGCCATTGTTCATCAGCAATGTCACAATGAGTCATTCTGCTTTGATTAAGAGACGAGTGTGTGCTTCTCTCTCTCTCTCTGTCTGTGTGTGTGTGTGTGTGTGTGTGCATGCATTCATTACTCGAACAAAAGTGCCTGCATTATGCATTAAAGCAGGAGTGCTCAATCCTGGAGATCTACAGTAGCTGCTCTCAGTCTGCTAACACACCTGACTATAATTTTCTAGTGAACCCAAAAACCTTGATGAGCCATTTCAGGTGTGTGATTAGAGTAGCAGCTGAACTCTGCAGGAAGGTTACATCCAGGAGTAATGTTAAGCTATGGACACACTAGGCTTCCAGGACCAAAATTACTTTGGACTCCGCAACAAATATGGGCAACAGGATGTGATGTCATGCTCTAGAGCAGTGATGGGCAAACTTGGCCCTTCCAGGCCACTTTCCTGCAGAGATTTGATCCAACCCTGATAAGACTCACCTGCCTGTAGCCTTCTAGAAGTCTTGAAGACAATGATTAGCTGGTTCAGGTGTGTTTGATTGGGGTTGGAGCTAACCTCTGAAGGAAAGTGGCCTGGAAGGGCCAAGTTTGCCCACCCCTGCTCTAGAGCTTCTGACTAACAGTGTTGTTATTGTTAACTAAATCAAAAACTATTAATAATAGTTTTCGTTACTTGAAATAATGCTAAAATAAATATTGCGTGACCAGCTTAAAGAACTTTTTAAAAATTAGAAACGTTGCCTTGGCAACTAACTGAAATAAACTAAATTGAAGTACTAAAATTACTACAATTAAAACTGTAAAGATAGAAAATGTTTAAAGCACATAACAAAATTACTAAAACTTATACTAAAATTAAAATAAAGTGAAAATATAAAAATAAAAGCTTATTCAAAATAATAAATATTATTAGAAAAATTTCACGATTATCTAAACCAATTTATTATACCACAGCAAAAATAATATTATATTAAATTTTACAGAATTCAGTTACATTTTTTAATTAATTGATAAAATACTAAATGTTAAATGTTAAAATATTCTTTTTAAATATTAACACATTTAATTAAAATGTTAGCCTTAATTTAGCCTTCAAAATATTTCTCAAGTTAACAAATAATTATTTATGTACAGTAAATGGCAGTATCAAGTATTCAAGTAAACCACTGTGAAACAGAAATAAATACTAAGTAATGTAATATACTTAATTGGCATAGTTTTCACTGCATGGTTATTAGATCTAAAACTAATAATGTGGTTTTGATGGTGCCAGTTTGACTGAGAAGCAGATCTTTAATTAAACTGAGCTGTAAATTAGTTTTTTGTTTTTCTTTAGGCCTAACTTTGTGTATATCTTGGATTGTTAATAGTAGCTTATTAACTAAAGTTATCCAGCCACAAGCAGTGAGTCATTTTCATAATATTTATTGTTTGATTTAACATTAATGACACATTAAACAGTGGTAAGTGTGTTTTATTCTGCACATTTACACTGCAAAACCTACAGATATCCGATTGAGATTATACATTTTACTACCAATACTGCAGGAACACTGCTATCGTTCCTTTTTTGGATACTTTTTTTTTTTCTTTAATTCCGCATCAACTTGGTACCAAAGCACTACTTCTTTTGACATCCCTAATGCAAACCAATGATGTTTATATACTTTATTTTGAGCCAAGAGGTCAATCTGTGACATTTAGTTCGGCATTGTTTATGCGGCTTCAAACGCAGCTTATCCAGCCAGAAATTAGAGTGGGAACAATTCTTTTTTGCCTCATGGCTCACACCCAAACTTCATTTGAGTTTTCCTGTCGAGTCTCTCCCAGAGGGATCGCTCAAGGTTATATCCTCTCCCGTGTCAACAACAGGACTCCACCTGCTCGTGAGAACAGGCCCAGCTCAAACACACATACCACCGAGTTGTGCTCAGTCAGACAGAGCTTCACGTCATACTTTCTGAAATGATAAACTGGCCATTATAAGTGCAGATACACTGCAGCACCACTGCGACCGCCGACCACCGCCCCAGCGATAATGACGGGGTTCCTTTACTCTGCCGAACGCTGAGCTGAAATGGAAGATGTGTCATTTAGTGACAAACGGCTTCATCTGTTTTGGATAGGAGATGTCCTGCGCCGTGAGGTGGAACTAAATTCTTGTGGGCAATTTGCAGTCCTGTGTGTCTTTCTCAGTAAGAGAGCCATGGGGGTTCGCTTTGAGACAGACTGTAAATGGTTTCCGCCTACACGCGCTCCTGCTTTTCTCTCTCTCACTTCATTCCTTGCTGTTTTTCTAATATTTCTCACATTAAAAACCACACATTCTCTCACATACACACACTTGCATAAACATAGTCACGCACTCATAGTTGAGCCTGGGCAAATAGCCTGCCTTCGTATATGGTGTCCTTGGATGCACAAAGCGCTTTGCAGTGGAGAGTACTCATTCTCATCTGAAAGTGAGGCGTGAGGGAGTGCGTACTCACTCACACACACACACACACACACACACACTCTCTCTCTATTCCTCCCCCTCTCGCACACACTCCCACGCTCACTGGTTTGTTTAGGATAATGATGCCCCTGTCACCACCTCCCACTCATATCCTCCCACCACATCTCTTTCTCTGTGTTTTACTGCCTTCATTACTTCACTGTTATACTCTCAGCCTTACACAAGCAGACAGTGGTTGGACTGCACGTAGACGACACATCACAACACGGCGCACGCTTACCAAGGTTACGTCGTGTTTTCTCACCGCTGTTTTGGTACCTCGTCACGTTTTAAAGGAATGTTATGGTGTTGCAATAAAGGAATAGTTCACCCAAAAATGAAAATGTACCCAACCTCAGGTCATCTAAGATGTAGATGAGTTTGTTTCTTCATCAGGAGAGATTTGGATGAATTTAGCATTACATCACTTGCTCACCAATGGATTCTCTGCAGTGAATGGGTGCCGTCAGAATGAGAGTCCAAACAGCTGATTAAAACATCACAATAATCCACAAGTAATCCACATGACTCCAGTCCATCAATTAATGCCTTGTGAATTGAACAGCTGCATGTTTGTAACGAACAAATCCATCATTTAAGATGTTTTTTTAACTTCTATTGTTTCTGTTGAGTCTTCTATCTATAATATTGCTTTCTTCAGTGAAAAAGTCTTGGCTGAATCAGGGCAGAACAGTCCAAAAGAACAGTCCAAAACAGTATTAAACAAATGTGTCGGTGGATTTTGATGTGAGAGGACAACAGGGGGATGGACTTTTTCACTGGAGGAAGTGTTATGAA